TTCCATGTATAAGAGAGCAGGTTAAGTCTGAGCCCAATTTTTATAAATTAGAATTTAGGCAAGATATGGAAGGGTGCTAATGTATTTCTAGTGGATCCAAATATATTGTTGAATTTTTCTTGTTTATACCACATATTTCTACCTTTTATGGAAAATTAAATATAAGTAATATATGTGGGTTATTTTATGGTATCAATTGTTTTGTGTTCACAAAAATAGCAAAACCAGATTGCTGTTAATTCTCTTCCCTACTTTGCTCTGGTCACTAGGAAACCTGAAGATACATTTCTGTCCAAAGCCTGGATGATTTACAAACTGGTGGAATGCATTGCTATATGCTAACCTTATCTGAAACTTTAATATGCCCTAACTTTATTCTCTGTTTTTCTACAGCTCTGTTTGAATCATACACATTTTTCTGGCACTCTAATTTTTTTTGCAGAATGAGGCAGGAGACAGACAGATAGTCTGGGAAAGGATTGTTGCAGACACTGACTTTGAAATATATCAAATCATATAGCCTAATTTTCTAGAGAATTTCTAAATACTTTTATGATTATCCATAATTAATCAAACTCTAAAAAATCAATTTCTAACCCCCCAAATACTCCGAATGTCTTAATCCTATTAAGAAAAAACAAATAGATCTTCCTACCAGTAAACTCACATTCTCACTTATCTCTCTCCTCCTTACTCTATAATCCTACTCTCCTCCGTGTTTCTTCCTTGTTAGTCTTAAAATTTGGTGGTATTATACTTACTAAGTAGACATCTTTCAGCAATATTTTGTACTGGTGTTTGCAGCAGTGGATAACTTTTAGGGGGAATTTGAAGAAAAATCCTTTTGCTGCCTTCAAAATGAAAGGTTTTCAGAGTAAACTCATATAATGTAAAAATCCATTCTGTGTGTTTTATTGGTCGTGGATAAGATATCTTCCTCACCTTTTTTCCATCGAAAGCTAGTTCTTAATCATTTTGGCTTCCAGGAGTTGGCTATTGTTTTTCTATTTCACAAACTTAAAATGTACTGGCAGAAAGTTTTCTTTGAGGATTAAATACTCTGGTCTATTCTAAATGTCATCTCTTAGCTTACAGAATAGTTTTGAAAATCAGATTCCATTTTTTCAGATATCTTATTAAATTATCAGTTTCCATGTGGCTTGTCTATTTCCTCTGCCATACTAATATTCACCACAGTGGATGAAATCTTATTATTGGCTGTTACATGCCCTCTCTCCCAACCCTTCTCACAGGGCCTCAATTTCCTGATCAGAGATTATCTAGACTTCCTTATATTACTCAGTCTTTGCGGGATATGAATCCAAACTTTGCAGAAGATTTCTATCATATCCTTTTTCACTCCCCAAGATCCCCGAAGAGGCTGCATGTAACTGAAACTCTGACAATTAGCTTCTTTCTTCAGGGACTTTGTGTCTTGAATAGAGCAACAGAAGAGTAGAACAAACAGTCCATGTTACTAATTGCAGGGTGTTCCAGGGTGATAGTACAGCTATAGAGATCCTCTATGCCAACTTGACACTTTTTGTTCCAAGTTACTCTTCAGCCATCTCTCTGATTCTGTGACATCTTTATGTCCGATTACATTCACTTTCTGCTCAATATAGCTATTGGTTTCTGTTGTAAAACAAATAATGTTACATGGTATATTCATATAAGTTCTTTTCTACATGTGTCATCCTCTTGCAATGTTATATTTTACATATATCTGTTTTGCACTTGTCAATTTCAATATCATCTTTGCTTTACTCTTACTCTATAGTAGCGTTTCCAAAAACTGTTCTGAAAAATAATTCTAACTTACTGTTAGCATTGTCACTTTTTTTTTTTTTTCAAAACAGAGGAAGGTTATTGTTAAGTTTGGAAAATGTGAGGATAAATAAAAGTAAATTAGCTTCTTTTTTTGTGCATTCTGAATTTCCAAGAAAGAATATAGGATGTAGCTCTTCCCAAATTTATTTTCAGTATGCACACAAATACAGATTTGCTTTGCCATATCAAAAGAAACTAGTGGTCTTTAAAACATATTTTGGGTTATCATATTCTAGATGTTGCTATATTTGCTATCTCCAGTGAGAACTTTAGCTTATAATAGAGCAATATTGATTAAATTTTTAAATTTTAAATTTATTTTTAATACTGATCCTTCCTATTTAATATTCATCTTATCTCTATCCTATGTATGCAATTCTTATGTGGTTGTTTGAGTTTCTTATATAGAATTTGAAAATATTGAACCTGAACTTTTTTTATGGTACTACAAAATTTTTAACTGAGCTACGAGGTTTCAAATGTTTGAACAGGTGCTGTAATCAAAGTTTACTACAGGTACTTCATGTTTCTATTATTTTTTTGGTAGCTTAGACTTCTGCTGGCATTCTTAATTATTGTTCAGTGTTTCTAACTGTAACCTTCCTAAAAGAGGTATCACAAATCAGTGGTACTTCTCCTGCTTTTGAAATATAAATTTAGGAATCTTGAGCTGATATCAATGAGGGGTTTATCTACTTCTGACGGTGATTTGCTCTTAAAATAATCCTGAGCCTTGGTGATTAAATCAGAATGTTAAATTACAGTGGTTTAAAAGTTCCTCTATGAGATATGTAGAAAGATGAATTGTCCTAGACACCTTAGTCAATTGTCTGATCTACATAAAAAGTGTGTGGTATAGAACTTTACCAACTATTTAAAACAAAATTATTCATAATTTGCTATGTTGGTGTTCTATTAAATGAATGCTCATTTAAAAAAATTTTGACATGAATACAAATAGCTCAAGAACAGACCTGGGGTAAAATAATTTTTCTGGATCACATTCCTAATGGTCAATTGCCCTGAATGTATTCATCAAATGAAAATCAATTGTCAGGGACTAAGTAACTGAGAGAGACAGGCAAGTGATGATGTTAAAACAATCCAGTATTAATCACTTCTCATTTGCCAACACCACTTCAGAGAACATTTATTCAGTGATTACAGCAATATTACTCAAAATAAAAAGATACTGAAAACAATCTAACTGTCAAACATCTAGAAAACTATAAGGAAAAAAATGCTAAGAAGATGGGTCCCTGTAACTAAAATGAAAATGCACTCTACAGATACAAAAAAAAGGAAAAAAAAAACTCGGATAAATTTTTATCATAAAGATTAAAATACAGAAAACCTACATGTGATAAAAACATGTTTGTACAGTGATAAGGACAAAGCAGACAGACTGAAAGAATAGTTATTTGCAATGGAGATGCTCTTTGTAGTCATTTGCTTACTAAAGTTAGCTATTATAGATTTTTAAAATACCCTTACAAAGTCTTAGGCAAATTATTTTATCTATAGGCAAACTATAATATCTGTGGGCATTATAATTATACATATATATATATATATATATAGTTAAGTATACACATATATAGAAAAATATGTATATAAACTTAAAAACACCATGAGTGAAAAAGTATTCTAATCAAACATGATGTATATTTAGAATAAATACATATGTGTTTCTCTTTGTATGCTCTATTATCCTAATTGAGCCCAGATTTAAAAGGATGCAATTCTTATTTCCTCCAAATTGTCTCACCCCCACATAAATTATGGAAAAAGTTAAAACCAAGGTCATCTTAGTATATCATGTCCAAAGCAATGAGACCATCCTGGCATTGGACCAAGGACAAGTATTCTAAAAGCAGAAACTGTTAACTAAAACAATGTTAGTTAATTTCAAACATAACTTTTTAAAAATATAGGGTTTGGGGGTTTTTTTTGTGTGTGGTTTAATCCTTAGAATACCCTAAACTGAACTGAACACATGAAGTTATCTGGTAGTGGAAAAACTGATAAAATGGAAGAAGAGGCATAGCAGACCAGGAGATCACACTACCCTGGCTGAGAAAGTAACAGAGTTCACAATGAACAACATTTAACACTAAAACAGGACAGATAGAGAGAAATATAGTAGTCATCTATATACTTTGAAAAGATCTAAGGTAGAATAAAATCTAAACAGAGAGGAAATGCAAGATTGTGAGGATTGTATGTTTGGTTAAGATAATACTTGAGAGATAGGAACAAAGTCAAGCAGCTTTTCTCATTAAACATTTATTGCTCTGCTTAAATCTGTTTGAAGGAGCACAGAATTACATGAAATACTGCACTGGGTAAGATCTACTCTTTCCCCAGCCAGAATGCTGAGGTTAACTCAAATCTGATTGACATGCAACTGAAATATGTGATAGTTTTTCCATAATGTCAGCATTTAACACTGTCAACATTGAAGATGAGGCCCATTCCAACAACTCTTAGTGGACACTTAACGATATTCATAAAGTTGTCCAAAGTTTTCAAGAAAATAGCATCAGTGCCCTTTATGAGGATGATATAAAAATCCTTTCTTACTCTATCAATAAAATGCAGTTAAATTAAAAATTCCTGCTTTGCTCCAAGCAGCAGATAATTAATGAAGCCTTGACCCAGGAAGAGCTCCAAAGCACTTGATACCGGGATGCTGATCTACAGGACTGTTTTCCTGGTAGTTAAGTGTCTCACCCCCTCAATTACATAAAAACTATAATTTTTGTATCTTACTTGCCATGCTTTATTAATTTAAAAAAAGTTTTTACTAAGCTAACCTTGTATTAACATTAAAATAATGCTTAAAAAAATTCATCCACAAGCCTGCCACTAAACTTCTTTAATTTGTCCTTGGGCACAATTTGTAGCTGTAATCACACCATATATAACACAATTGAGACAGTTTTTAAAGGCATTACTTAACATTCCCTGACAATATGTTCTGCTAAACTTTCCCAGCTTGCTCATTTAATTAGTACATATTATAAGAAACTCAGTGTAAGCCACAGCTTCACTGAAATATAAAAATTCCATAGATTCCTTCTAAATATATGTCACAAATGGCATATTTTACCAAAAATGTAGTTTAAGACACTTTATAATTCACATTTATATACTACTTTTCATCTTACCTCTTCTCCAGACAGATAGTAGGCTGAGAGTAGTCCACCAACAAATCGTATATTTACTTCAAAGACAGAAATTTCAGCATTCTATATGAAGAAAAAAAGGTCAAATGTGATGATAGTGCACAATTCAGAAAATCATTACTGTGATAAACAATACTAAATACTTAAATTTTATTTAAATCTTATGCTTGCCCAGAGAAGTTTATATATGGGAGGAAACATTCTCCCATTTAAAGGTATCAAATATCATTTTGCATTTTATGCATTGAAACATCACTAATGGACCCCCCGAATACATACAATCCTTATATGACAACTTTTAAAAATAAAGGAATCAACATACTTAAACGATATGGTTTGGCTCTGTGTCCCCACCCAAATCTCATCTTGTATCTCCCCTAACTCACGCATGTGGGATGGACCCAGAGGGAGATAACTGAATCATGAAAAGGGATCCTTCTCATGCTGTTCTTGTGACAGTGAATAAGTCTCATGAGAGCTGATGGAGTTTCCTTGCACATGCTCTTTCTCTCTTTGCCTGCTGCCATCTATGTAAGATGTGACTTGCTCCTTGCCTTCTGCCATGACTGTGAGGCCTCCCCAGCCATGTGAAACTGTAAGTCCATTAAACGTCTTTTTCTTCCCAGTCTCACGTATGTCTTTATCAGCAGTGTGAAAATGGACTAATACAACAGATAAAAATAATTTTGAATCTTAAACAAAATTACAAAAATATTTGTAAAATAAATTTTTTTCCTCTCTCTTCAATAGCAGATACAATATTTGATATTCTCTATTTGTGTAAACAGAATGGGGCCAGGGCCTCTTTTTCTCTTTCTTTCTATTCTGCATTCTCCTTTATTTTATTCATTTGTCTGCCTTTTCTTCCTGAAAAGCCATTCAGCCTATATTTAGGCTGGTAGTTCAACATTAGTCTAGGAATCTTTTAATCATAACAGAGTAGCACAGCTGCAATGCAAATAGGATTTGAAGTCTAAGAACTTGGGTTCTAGTGCTGGTTCCCAACTTTTTGCCTGTGGCTTGGGATTATTGTTCTAATCCTGAAAAGATATTTCATCTTTGCATAAAGAACATGCTAATAATAATATATGCTATACCATGCTGAAAAAGCCTTTATTTATATTAATAATCGCTTGCTTTTATTATATACAATGTGCCAGCTACTGTGCTTATGTCTTTATATAGACTATCTCTTTCAGTCCTCACACTGACCTTATGAATTAATTACTATTCTTATATCCAATTAAAAAGGTTGAAACTGAAACCTACCCTAGTGGATTTGAACTTGAGTACTGTGACTCTTGATTCAGGGCTCTGTTATTCTGACTTCTATACACCTCACATGATAATGCACCAAGTCTCTTTATTAACGGTCATATAATTGGTAATTACGGCCAATATTTTATATTTGATTAGTAAATAGATCTGTCTTGCATTCTGTTACTAGATAAGTTAGAACAGCTAACCTGCTATTTAGATTATAAAGTACATTTCAAGTTTTAGTTAGCTTTTTTTCACATTCATTGGGCATTCTGAGTAGTTGTTCACTTTTGCCTAACATCAAATGATTCAGTAATAATCATGGGACTAACAGCAATTTTTAATATATGGTGTCAATATCTGGCAGATAAACTTAGTCAAAATCATGAGATATTATTTCCTTTAAAAAGCATTTATTAAGAAACCACTATGTGCCAGACCCTGTCTTAGGTAATAGGGAAATGGCATTAAGGTCTTCAAACTCACTTAAGTCTACATTTTAGTGGGACAAAATTTATTTCCAGAAAAAAAGGAGATATTTATTCATTTTATTCTTACATGCTCTCTGTAGAAAGGTTTAAGGATATAACAATTAAGCCAAGTAACTGCTTAAGTTAAAAAATTTTTTAAAAAATCATACAAAGGACAATTACGAAAACAAGTTAGGAGACAGAATTACTAGGTCAAAACTAGGCAAAAACATCACAAAAGAAGACTGGTGAGTGTGTTTAATTGTATTTCATAATTTGTAATGTGCACCTGACATAATCTGATTAAAAGTATTCTATATAGGTATAATTTAACTTTGAGGTCTATCACTCTGAATGAGTTTTATATAAATATTGGCAAAGGCTTTAGTATTCTACAAAATTACTGATAAGGAAAAGGGAAGGTAATCCATACATTTAGTTTGGTTCACATGATTATGTTTCTTATGTTTAAGAGTAATAATGTCTAATAATAAAATCTAGTAAACTTTAAACCCTCAAATCATATTCCTCTTAATTTGTACTTGTGTTTTTCAGTTTTTAAACCTGGTAATAGTTCCCCATATTTCTGCCTATTGAATACTGTTAAGATGATCTTATATTCTTTTTTTTTTTTTTTTTTTTTGAGACGGAGTTTCGCCCTTGTTACCCAGGCTTATGCAATGGCGCGATCTCGGCTCACCACAACCTCCGCCTCCTGGGCTCAGGCAATTCTCCTGCCTCAGCCTCCTGAGTAGCTGGGATTACAGGCACGTGCCACCATGCCCAGCTAATTTTTTGCACGTTTAGTAGAGACGGGGTTTCACCATGTTGACTAGGATGGTCTCGATCTCTCGACCTTGTGATCCACCCGCCTCGGCCTCCCAAAGGGCTGGGATTACAGGCTTGAGCCACCGCGCCCGGCTTTTTTTTTTTTTTTTGAGACAGAGTTTCGCTCTTGTTACCCAGGCTGGAGTGCAATGGCGCGATATCGGCTCACCGCAACCTCCGCCTCCTGGGCTCAGGCAATTCTCTTGCCTCAGCCTCCTGAGTAGCTGGGATTACAGGCACGCGCCACCATGCCCAACTAATTTTTTGTATTTTTAGTAGAGACGGGGTTTCACCATGTTGACCAGGTTGGTCTCGATCTCTCGACCTTGTGATCCACCCGCCTCGGCCTCCCACAGTGCTGGGATTACAGGCTTGAGCCACCGCGCCCGGCGATCTTATATTCTTATTCTGGCTATGGGTCCTTTACATATGCATTTTCTCTAACTCCTGTGAAAATTTCGGATAATCAAGATCTTTATACAGACATCTGATAAAAATTATTGCAAGGTGGAGGTCTGAGTCATGTCAAATACCACCAGAAATATATCTTCAGCTAGACATCAATCAATTATTGGATGCAGTTATTCAACCAGTTATTGATGCAATTACATATTCTGAAACCTGAATTCTATTATCTTGTACTGCAACATATTGATAAATGACCCTCCAAGGTTCTATACTCAAGGTCACTTGCTATGGTTTTGGATTCCATGGATCTAACAGTCTGCCTAGTGAGCCTGTTTAAGAAGCAAATCTAGCTTGTTCATTAATCCATGTGACTGCTATGTCTTTGTCTTTAATCAGTCTTGCTCTGGAATATCATATCACCACCATTAACAGTTCTCAAGTCACCATCTTCTCTGAAAACCAGAACCATGTTTGAATTTCCAACATATAATTCTTTCTCTTTCCTTTTCAAAGTTAAGTTTAAATAATTTAGAAACCTTAATTTGAGGTATCTTTCAACATTCTAGGTTGTATTATGTTTTTAGGCCAAAAGATTGAAATTTAGACCCATTAGTTCACTCTTTACAGATCTGTAGATGAAAAGGCCTAAGAAGATAAAAACTGTCCCACCACACCAAATTGGTTGGCTATCCTGGGGCAGCAGACTATAAACTGCTAGAATCAGAAGGACCTGGGATTGGAAGGCTGGTTTGGAAGCTGTCTGAGCGTGAGGTCCCAGGTAACTCATTTATTCTGAGTCTTGATTTTGTCGTATGTAAAACAAGACAATGCATTCCTCCATGACGTAAAACACTGTACACAATAGCTGGCCCAAGCAACACCCTCAATAGATAGTTGTTGCCACTACCACTGTGCAGTAGGTTAGCCTAAATGAACTAAAACCTACCTTCCCAGGGTCACTGGAAAATCAGAAACTCTAGAATCATAATATTCATCTTCTTTGACCTACATGAGGTCTTATTTCTCAAGGGCTTAAAAATACTTTTGAAATATACAAGTTGACCAACTGTCTTTTGGGCTTGATATATTTTATATGATATCTAGATTTTCATAAGTGAATTTCTACAATCTGAGGGTCTTAGGTCATTTCTATAAACTTCTGATTCTAATTTCCATGAAAGTGATATTAAATTTAAATGAATATAATCCTATTTAATATTCATGATGTTCCAAAAGTTTTCTACTGACTTACCCTAATGACAGAGAGGGTATCTGGAGCAGAAAGAGGACAGTAGGTAGACAAAGCAGCCTGTAATACTAAATCTTGTGAGATTTATCCTAACTATTAATGTGAATTTTGCAGTCTACTTGAGTTTGTTTTAAAATAAAATAAAATTAACACCCCTCTAAATCTTTAAGATTGCATTCCGGTATGCCCCACATATTCCATGGCTTCTAGTGCATAGTCTTATGTGAGTGGCAGTTTAAGAAGTAGATCCCATCTTTTATTTAAATTCCATGTATCTATTAATGTCAACTGATAAGTAACTGGAAGTTGGAAATTTTTAGCTAAATACCTACCGATAAAAAAAAATCAGAATTGGAGAAATTGTTCTTTCATTTTGATTTATTTACAGCAATGACCACTGAATCAAGGAACATACTAAACCAGATTCATCTATAAATTTAATAAAATATATGGTATGGCTAAATTTACAGCTAAAATCAAGAGATGAGTATTACAAATCATGAAAAAATTATGCCTCAGTACTAATCTCTATTATTGTCTTGGGTGTTTTAGATTGATAATTTCCATCTTAAATTTACCCCTTTTCTGTGTATTTTTGTCCACTCATTTACTATACATGTATGCAAATGTATGACATAAAGTAATAAAGATTGCTAATATTAAAAACAAAGAGTCTAATTTATAAATGATTTTGTATGCTGCCCTTCTCCAATCCTAACATTATGCTCCATCTCTCTGCGAAGAAAGGCTTCTTCCAAACCAACATATCATGAGATCATGGATGGAAGTATCTAACAACCCTATCTAGGCAATAGAGAAAATGAACACTTCAAAATGTGTTTCCAAAT